ATAATAAGATCCTGTTATCACTATCTGTTTATGTGCTAAGTGAGTTCACTCAATAATACATGGTTTGCATAAGCATTCATAGTATTTTAATTTTCAATGAAACTCACTAACCTCAATATATAATACTGCAATTTTATGCTACAGACAAACATTTAATATAGAGGATAGCTGTACACTGGAAGGTTACAATAAATTGAAATTGAATTGAAAATTAAATTTTCTTTCTGTTATAACCATGTAATAACATGGTAATAACATAGCAAGTAACACTAAATTACTAGGTAACAACTTTTTGGAGCATATTTAATAAGTGCTGTGCTGCAATTCCTGGCAGACAAGGTAAAGTTAGAGTTGTTAGATTCCAAACAGTTATTACCAGCATCAATAAATTAATGTGCTATTATCTAATAAATTGCAGTTTATTACCTGGCATATAGCAGAAAACCAAACCTAGAAGACAGCAACAATTGTCTAATAAATTGCAGTTTGTTACCTAGAAGACAGCAACAATCTTCTTAACTCAACTCTTATTTATATATAACTTGAGTTTAGATTTATAATGTTTTAGTTACAATTTGCCTTGTAAGCCATTGGTAGGTGGTGGCCAATAATAGAAACTGTTATGCAGTAACCTAATGCTAATTACCCACCAAAAGTCTCTATTTTTACATAGTAACGTACAATTGTAATAATTACATGCAGGTAATTACTTTGAAATTATATACCTTAATTTTGGGGTAATTTACAAATAACATTTTACCTTTTACCATGTAATATAGTGTGAATTGCTATGTCATTACCATAGTATTACATGGTTATGGATGTACTGTAAAAGAAAGTGTTACCAAAATGTTCATCTAAAATACAAAAAAACCCATCAGGCTTTTGTTTTCATTCCATTTTATGCTGATACCACTCAAAGAAACTCAGCGTTGCCATTTAGCTTTAGTAATATAAACACTAGATGTGTGTAACTTGTTCTGAGTATAAACATGGATGATTTCTGAATGCATTGAAGATTTTTAATGAATGAGTGGACAAACAGCATCATTAGGAGCTGAGGAACTTACCTAATTCAAACCAACCAAGACATGACTGTCTGCTCATGTCAGCAGATGAGAAACTTAAAGGCAGGTGTCAGCAAACTGAAATGTTCAAAGAGCCAAATTGGACCAATAAAACATGAAACAGATCTGTCTGGAGTCGCAAACATTTGAAATGCTTATATAAGCCTCCTCAGGCTCTACAGTATATTAGCCATCTATCAAAATGACCAAGTAGGCTTAAATACCTAATAGGCATTCATGATTAAATGTTTATTTTCCCTGCAGTGCATCCTGGTGAAAATGACACACCATGTGACTTAATCTGCTGTACGATATTAGGTGCTTTAAGTTTAATGTCCATTACAGTATTAATGGATTATGGTTTCTTGAATTGATCAAATTATAGAAATACAATAAAGAAATCAGATTTTAATTGTTATCTTTATTTTGAGGACTTAAAAAAACGGAATATGCATAATAAGACTCCTGTAATTTGAACCTCCACTTGGAAATATGATGCAGTCCTCTTCAAACCAAAGTAACAATACAATCCTTTCCCCCCTTCTTATTGGGGCAACAGCAGCCTGTTCATAAGGTAAGCAGACTATTTAAATGAAAATAAGCTGATATATTTTAATTACAGTGCACCAATCGGTTTGTTTGCAACAGCCACCTGCCTGGCAGTATGCCGCACTGAAACGTGTCGCAGGCTATGAGGAAAATCTTTGTTGATGTTTCAATTTATTGTTTAAATTTATGTATTATACACATTTTTACAGCAATGGAAAACATAACGAATGTTTGTTTGTCATCCTGCACACTACATTAAAAGAAACAAACAAAAATCCATCTTTTTCCATTTTGTTTACTTTGATGAGACACAAGGGGCGCTAAAGAGCCACATGCCTATCTGGAGGAGCTGTGGAAATCTAAAGCTCCAATGAAAGAATTTATCAACAGAACTATAGTTGTGCATTTCACATTTCTGTGCTTTGAGGACGAGAGGAAGAGCTTTTCTCTAAAAGAAAATCAAGTCTTGTATTTGCAGTTTTACGCATGCCCCTTAGGGGTCACAGAAAACATAAGGAGGAAAGTGCTCTGGTTAAAGGCCGACATGCAAATGTGATGTCGGATGGAAACTGAAAACTGCTGATCACTGCTAACAAACATCCCAAAGATGAAACATGGTGGGAGAAGTGTGGTGATGTGGGGGCAGGAACAGAAAAGCTGCTCAGAGGTGTCAGTTAGACAAATTAAACTAAATACAAGGCAAACCTGGAAGAAAACCTTTTGGAAGTTAGAAGAAAGTAGAGACTTTGGTGGAGGTTCATTTTTGAACATGACGAAAACCCTAAACATTCAGTCTAAGCTAAAGTGGAATAGTTCCCAAACTTTTTAGCTTCTGACTCTCAAAATGGTACCAGAGTCAAATTACCCAAACATTTCTACAGTCAATTAACTATGGGTGTAATAATATTATAAACTGACTCAGAAACTAAAGTAATTGGTTTTATCCATCTTTGGGTGATTCTTTAGGTTATTTTAGTACTTTAACATAAATGTCTAATAAGTTCAATATCTGTATTGAATCTCTAGACCCCATATTGGTTGATCAAGGACCCCAAGTGGGGTCATAACCCCAACTTTAGGAATCACTGATTTAGATAATAGCATTAGTTGTTTTTAGATGGTTGTTTACAAAGCATTGTATTAAAATACCATCATGGAGAGTTGAACGGAAGAAAGAACTGTAGTAGAAAATGAAAAACAAGATGAACAAGGTGCAACAAAGCCTATTGAGGAGCTTAGGGTGAGACTCATAAGATGTGAACAACAGCTGGAATCACTGAGTCAGAGTCATGATATGTTGGGGAAAAAGTAAAATTTCTTCGATTACTTTGCAGTCTCACTGACTCTAATTGAGATCTACTCCAAACATGTGCTTTATGAAGATACTACACCTTAGAATATTGATAATTCTACATCCAATCATATGGTGTTTATAGGGTTAAATTACAGATTATTCCAATTCAATTTTCATTGTAATTAGATTATTTTTACATGTTGTAAATTTAGAAAAAAAACTGGTTGCTCTCTGATGACACCTGGTGGAAGGAAAAACTTGAATTAATAGGATATTCTACCTTCAAAATTCCATCAAACCTTTTTACATTAAATATAATATACATAGATAGTGATGGTTTTATTATTTAAAGGCCATGAAAGTGTATTTAAAAAGCTTCTGTTTTACAGACTGTTTTCTGAAGGTGTCACCTCTCTACACCTAAAGCAACATTAGGTAGCCAAACAGAACATTCCCCATTTATTTCATTTTCTGTCTAATTTTACAAAAACTGATTTGGAAACTTGTACCAACACAAGAAGGCCCTGGTTCTGGGTACATTCTTCTGATCTTAATGGATACTTTTAATAGCACAAGTGCTTTTCCAATCTTGGCTGGAAATCAGTCTGATCTGGCCAAGGTGGTCTCCATTTGTTTGCCTGTGGTGCCACCATATCGGAACTTTGTTTCACTGATGCATCCTGGCCATTAGCAGTAAAATAACAGTTTATTATGATCATATGAACATGAAACAATATGATTCCAGAATCATTAACACTGAATGAGTGAAATGTTGAGTTTTGATTGAAATAATTCAGTTGTTTTTTTTGCAATTGGTTATATATTTTTGAAACAATACTATGTGTGCACATATCCTCTGGTATGTTCATATCAGATGTAGCACTGTGGGAAAGGAGGGGTGGCCGAAAGCAGATAGGCAGCAGAACCTCAGGGTCAATCTACACTGTTCCAACAGGAAAATTAACAAGCAAAACATCCATATTTTCTAAATAAAGACAAACTATACTTTCGTACAGCCTTTGCTAACAAATACATGCAGATATTTAAACATCGGTGATTTCTAGATAAAAGGTATAGTGGATAAAACTCAGTTTTGAGTTCTGGGGCATAAATCAATCATCATCGTCATTACTTACCTACTTGTATCAATAAACATTCTGCATAAAATTGATATTTACAAGCACTTATATCTACATAAATTGATTATTTGATAAGTTTTTATTAAATTTGTTGTTTATCTTTGATTTCACTGAAGACTCCTATATGACTTGCAGAGACACATTTTCTCTTTACCCCATACAAGACAAAATCTAGTTTTGTAAAGATAATGAATTCTGTACCTATCATCTTTGATGTTAGTATATTGATGCGTATGATTAACCACAAAAAAATAAAATGTTTTGAATATTCCACTTGAGAGTACTACTGCTGCCACCATCTGTATTAGAGGGAAAAATGGTAGGGGTGGCCACAGGGGTGGCCAATAATTGGCTAAGGATGGCCATGGCCACCACTGGCCCTCCATCTAGCTCTGCCCCTGCTGACAAAGGCCCCCTGCTCACAGCTTTCAAAGGGATGGGATAAATCCAGAGATAAAAACTTGTAATGTACAATAACAAGTAATTATTTCCAGGGATGAAAGTAGATTTAAGTTCTTGTAGGTACTATATAAAAAGGTTTATAGGCCTATATTTTTTTTTTTATCACACCCTGTATGCATTTTAAAATATTTTTTTGTTTTCAGATTTGGATTAATATAACATATTTCTATACTCAATCTATACATACAGCCAAAGTGGCAATACACCAAGATTAAACATAGAACCACAGCGGCTCTTGCTGTTGGAACTGTAAAATACAATAGATATAAGTTGCCTTCACATGCTATATTTAAATCATTTAAACTACCATCTGCCACATGGTTACACATATTATTGCCTAGATGATTGTGCATGCATACGTCAAACTGTATACAACCATTATTTATCTGCTAGAAAGTCAAAGTTTGAATTTTTGGATATATCTTTTAACATAAATAGAGATTCTAATACATTTTAATGTAAACCGGTAATTTCCCTGACGTCCCTGAATGCACCATCAGCTATTGACCCATATCCAGCTTTCTGACTGTTAGCTTTTGTGTCAGTATGGAGTCTCTCTGCTTCGTGGTTGTTTCTGGCTAATATCCTGTTGGTATTTGGTGGCTTTAATGTCCCGTGCAGGTCCTATAAAAACCATCGGCAAAGCGGGAACGGGCTGGTAGGTGGTCTTAAAATCACTGAGACGTAGGCTAACTGATCGCTCACGTCCACCGGACTCGCGTGGATCAGCTGGTTGGAGAGTTTAAGCTAGCTCCATCAACAGGCTAGCATCGAGTGTCGGAGGAGGGTTTTTTATTATTTTTCTCCACAGAAAGCCTCACAGCAAACTGTCAGTATTGTAGTTAAGCTTGTTTATTACCAGAAGTAACAAAGCTATGACTTTAATATGGCTTTTTTTAAAAGTAAAGTGCTAACTTGTAAGAAAACGTTAGCTTACGAAGCTAAGCAGTAAACCAGCTAACGCAATAGATCAAACATAGCAAACGGTATCTCTTGTTTTATATATATATAAATATATTTTAGATCTTTATCAGGTGTTATAACGTAAGTAAACTATGTTGTCATCACCTTTACCCTAACCTCTTACTACAATGTATGTCGTTTGTATTTTTTTCTTAGCTCATCTACATTTAACAATGATCATACAATTTTTAACGTTTTCCTGTTCTATCAGTGGGATTCTGCCTTCGTTGTAGCTCTTATCCCCTTTAACAGGTTGATTACATTCAAGTTAAAATGATACAGATCGTTGCAAAAAAAAATATCAGCTTTTTTTCTTCCTCAGGCACTTTCGCCGGATAATGGACGAGCTGGTCCATGACCTGGTGTCGGCACTGGAGGAAAGCTCGGAGCAGGCGGCCCGGGGTGGGTTCGGTGATGGAGGGGACCACGCTCTGGCAGTAGGCTGCCTGCTGAAGAGACAAGCTCGGAAACGGAGGGGCAGGAAACGTCGCTCTGACAACCCACATCCTCCGTGGGAGACTGGCCACCTGAGTGAGGGGTCAGAGTCCAGTCTGGAGGAGCATAAGGTGAGGCTGAAGGTGTGACCTGCATTCTAAAGAGATTCAAATAAATCAAGCAGCTATCCGGTGGATCCCCTAGACATTGGTGTAAATATCAGTAAGCAGAGTATGCAGTTGCTTAGGGGCCCCCGACCTCTTAGGGCCCTGTCATTGACACCTGGTATGCCCCCTATGTAATTGTGGACTAGGACTCTCTTATCATTTGCAATGGTGCAAAAAATTAATCTTAAACCCACCTGATACTAGATTGACTGACCGGACTTTATTTATACCCCAACACATGCCAGATTTCAACATGATGGTGAGCCGTTTAAACTTCAAAGCAAGCAGTGGTACTTTTAATTACTATGTTAATAACTATGTATAGTTCATTAGACGGTTGGTAAAAAATACAGTCATATAATATGCTTCAAACAGCAATAAAGATCTTAAAAGAACGATGTATTTAAGTATTTTATTTTTTACACTACGACTTGGAATTATGGGTAATCCAGAGCGTAGATTAAAAGCATAACTGCTACGTACAACATGTTAGCGATGATGGATACCAAAAGAGGTACTTAAGTGGATTTCAGAAAAAAAAAAAAAAAAAAGCAAAGAAGAGCTGCTGGAAGAATGGAAAAAACTTCCCAAAATAGGTGGACGTTGCTGCTAAAGTCAGTAAAGATTGTGACCTGGAGATGAATGAAGAGAGCGTGGGTGAGGAGGGGGGCTGTGAAGGTCAAGGTAGCCCGATAACTCATGTTACATCAGAATATACTAAAGTATATTCCTGTCCATTGAAGGTGAAGAATGATGAAATGTGTATGTATGGGGCACATTTCGTGTTGGTTATCTGCAGCGGCGGTGGGGGGGATGGGGTGTTGTACTTCATATGGGCCCACCCAGATAATGTTTCTTACCGGCCTATTGTTGTTTCGTTACGCCATTGTTTAAAATCCAGATCAAACAATAAAATAATTGACAATATTTTTCTTACGTTAACCGAACCGCTCGCTGTAACTATTATTGGTTCTTTACCCATAACGGAAGCTATAAAAAAGATGTTTTGGCCGGAACTTGGGGGTGAGGTGCCACTAACTTTTTATCTGGACAACATGGGGAAGTTTTAAATTCAACGAAATATAGGCTATCCATCCAAGAGTTTTCTGCATGGCTAAAACCAGTACCAGGGAATGTAGATGAAGCACGATGGGAATCAAGGCAGTGGAGACACATGTGCGAGGCATGAAACTCAAAGCGTCAAAATCAAGTTATCGAGAAGAAGCAGGTATTTCTCTGTTCTGTTCCACCCTTGTCTCTGCAACGCCTCCACAGCGCCAGTAGAACCAAATCTCAGGATAATGTTTGGCGATACGCCAACTATGAAAGTAGAGGGATTGAGAAGGGAACAAAACAAAGTTGGTGAATTCAGTTCGGTAGTTGTTAAAAATATATCAGTTATTTGTTTTTTTTTAACCTACTTCCTATATAGAAAGTTTTTCAAAATTTGAAACATATCTGCTGGGCTAGAAAGTACTGGTTTATGTTAAAATAAACATTTGGGGTAAATTTGTCGCTACCAGGTTTTTCTTGTGTTTATTGTCAAGTTGGTCTTAAATTTTTATTTTAAGTGGCATTAAAAAGTCTTAAAGTCTTGAATTAAACTTGCCTTATGCTGTAGGAACCCTGGTTGATCTTTACAGCACAAATGTGCCTAAACGAAGGTTTGACAAGCTCTCTAATCGTGCTACAGGGAATCATGTAAATCCAAATCAAATTCCGCTTTCAGATGATGCATTTAAATCTTTGATCTATGTGTGTTCTTTATGTGTTGGGAACGCACATGGAGATATATTTATACAGTGAAATGCAAGATGTCCAATTATGTTAAATTTGTACCCCCCATGTCCTGTTCCTTGCCTTTGATGAAGTCATCAGCAAGAACTCTCTTCTATATATTTGAAAGGAAGTCAGTGAGTGATCTCACCAAGCTCCCTATGCTAAAGAAACTATATCTGTGTTTCCATTACAGATGTACACAAAACTATGTCAATTTCCTGCTAATTTTGAAAATGCATTTTTTTTTTTATTGTGTTATTTCTATAAAATAAGAGATACAATTAGAATGGCACGTGAAACTTTTTTTTCCCACCTAATAACTAATATATAATGTCAATGGCAGATGTAAACATGGGATAAACTCATATTTCAGCCATGGCTGTAGTGCTCATTGTCGCAAACTAAATGTAAAACACTCAGTCTCCTCATGAAAACCATCCCATCAATGTTTTAAAGCCTTTTATGGAAAAACATGTTTTTTCTTTTTAGATTGCATTGTTTCCAATTAGTAAATTTAATTTTAGTTTTGATGGTTAATGGAAATGCAGCAAATGACTGAAAGAATTCAGCCTTCTTTTCCTACCTCCTTCACCTGCTCCCAGCACTATTCAGACAGCACTTATCATGGCGAGCTTCTACACTCTTCCACTTCAGCTTAAGAAAGAAATCCCAAATCCTCCGTAACTGCCCCGCTGTGCTCCAGAGAGTCTGCGCAAAGCCTCCCCCAACAGCCTCCGTGATTCCTCCCGTCTTGCTCCGACTGACTTCCTCGGAGCTCAAGGAAAACATGCGCTATATTATTATTAAATTCATAGGAGCAAAACATGCAGAAATAAACACTTAGTTTAATATGACATTAAAAAAATCCCCATCAACATCCAGCATATGTGCAGTTTCTGCCCAAATATTTTCTTTTTGTTGTGGATTTTTGGTAACGGATAACTAGGATCATTCATGGTTTTTATGAACTATGTTTGTCCTCTACTTCCAAACTCAGCATCTCTTTATCCATGCCTGTGATAAGAAGTTAGTTTTGAAGTTGTGAGATGTGCTCCTTTAAGTTGTTATGACTGGATTTGGCCTCTCGGTATAAAATAACTATTTTGATCGAGATTAGCAATCTGCTTTCTTGTATGTTGAAGTACCAATAGTTTGCATCCAATCATTTAAATAAACGATGTTAGTTTTTGGTAATATATAAGAATTATGGTTTAATTTGTAGTTACCGGTCTATCGTTACTAAATTTTGATTCGACAAACCGGATCTTCTCGCCGTTCTTTTTCCTGTTTAGTGCAATTGCAATTGCGGATCTTGACCTGGTCAAATCAGAGCGGAGCAAAAAAAAAAAATAGGAGGATGTGGCATCCCGGGGCTTAAGAGTCCATTGCTATTTGCTATATTTAAATTCAGACTTTGTCTCACTGAATAGTGCCCAAAGTGTTCTTAGTTTTTAAAGCAGTGAATATATTTGGAAAAGCAGCATCCGTGTTGCGTGTTTCCTAATTTATAATGCTGTACATTTATTTCTAGTCTCGTTTATCAGATCTAAAAACAGTCTTTGTAGTGTTCATTGATTAGTCAAGATTATTTGTACCGTAAAGTATTTCTACTGGTATCACCTGAGTGTATTTACTTGATATTGTTCTGTGTGCATCCTTGCTGATTTTGAAGCAGCATCTCTTCACAGAAAGTATCCTGTCTTGTTTTCACCACTGGAACATTTGTTGCAGGACTACCGTGCCAGCTCAGGAGGTGTATCAGCTGCCAACAGCCATGCCCGTGACAACAGCGACTCTGATGACCAGCTTGGCCCAAAAAGACGACCGCCCCACGCTGTCGACCTGGGACGAAGCAAACGGCCGATCTGGCCTGATGACCTGGCAGTCCTGGGCTCAGGGGAGGGAACTCGCAGCCTCAGACGGCGACGTAAGGTCAAACGTATGGCTGTGGACCCGCCGGTAGAACCAGAACCTCACTCCTCCATCCTTCTCGGGCCCCCACCCGTCCCTAAGGCCCGCGTTGGCAGCAGGCCGCACCGACTATGTGCTAACGAGAGTAGGGGTGCCATGGAGCTATGTGGAGGTGGCCTGATGGGGTCGGTGGGAGAAAAGAACCGCGTAAAGAAGAGAAAAATGGCAATGCAGAGACTGGGACTGGAAGCTGCTGACGAAGGAGTGGTTATTGAGAGCGAAGACCCTCTTTGTTCTCCAAAAGAAGGTTCCAAGGACAAGATGGAGCTGGACGAGCACAAGGGCTCAGATGAGGACATGAGTGACAGGTGGTTAGTGTTTTGGCTTTTCTTCTCTTTGCTTTCAAGTCGTCCATCTGCTTCTGTGCAACATGAGTATAATTTCAGGTCTGTAGGCCATTTGGTAGGTTTTAGTTAATATCAAATGAGCAATACTTGAGAAATTTACTATAAAATTAACTAAAATGTTCTATTTTATTCCCGGGAATAGAGGTAACATTGTCTATACACAATCAATCCTCTTTCTCATCAACATCTTGGTCACCTTTTTCTCATTTCAACCCTACTGGTACAATCCTAAATGACTTCAGTGATGTGTGTAGTCTGTGTTTTCTTCCTGCTTCCTGAGCCAATCATATGAGACTTCCAACGGTTTCCTGAAAAAGAGAGCACAGTATTTGACATTTAATGTTGCAGCCTGCAAACATGGAGCCCAGAAAGAGAGGCAGACCACAAATAGTCTCTGCAATATGGAAGAAGCCTCAGCATCTTTCAGAAGTATTTGAACAAGTTACTGTGGCTCAATCATCCTCACCTCGTTTCTCTTCATTTGGAGTTTTTAATTCCCCCTTTTTTTACTTTTAACACCAAAACCTGTTCGTTCAACAGATACGGCCCACTCAGAAGATTTACCAACAATTTCACATGCTAACGTCACACTTTGCTTTATATTTCAAGTGTTTTTATATAGAATGAGCTCATATAGGGAGAAAGAAACATCAACAGACATTGTCAAACAGACTATCAAGGCATACTGAGAGTGTTAACGATTGTTAGAACGAGCATATTACTCACTAATTAACTTGGAACATCTATTTCGCTTCATCATACTCTGCACTTGTGATCACAGCTAAGTTGTTTATTTTAAAAAAAGATCCCCATTAGCTCTCACTAAAAGTGGGATGAGTTATTCCTTCTGGGGCCGACAAAACGAAAGTCACTTAACAATTAAAGAATCACTTAAAAATTAAAGTCATCAGAAATCATTCCAATTATTTATTACATTCATATTCATTACATTAATTCTCACTTTCATAAATACATACAATAAAAATTTTAATTCACAACTCACAAATTTAAATAGTGCATTCTAAAGTAATGATTAAACGATACTTTACAATTCAGTTCACATATATTAGGTGGGCAATTATTCCAATAGCTGATGGCACAATAAATAACTGTTCTCTTTAAGGCATTTGATTTTTTGACATGTTAACATAATCTGACAATTTAGTTGTATAAGAAACAGGTTGAAAAGAATAGACAGTGTTTTGGGCAGTTTGTAATTTCCCTTGATGACCTTTAGATGCTGAAGACCATACAGGTGCACAATAATCCAGTTGACATAAAAGTAATGATTTAGCCACCTGTCCCACAATATTTGTTGGGAAAGACATTTCCTCACCATTGTGATACCAAACCCATCTTCCTCACTATGGTATCACTTTGTTCTGCCTATGACAACTGATTATCAGTTATTATGCCCAATAAATTTACTTTTTCTACCTGTTCTATTGGTTCCCCAGACAAGTTCAAACTCATCTTTGGTGTAGAGGACAGTTTATGACTTGATCCCAAGATAATTAATTTGTTTTTACAGATATTCAGAACCATCTTATTTCATTTTATCCAATCAAAAACCACATTTAACTCAGCTGACAAAACTGTCCAGTTCACAGTTTTTGCAGCATAACACAGTGCGGGATCATCAGCATACATGTGTGCAGTCGATTTACACAAAAACTGATGCTAAATCATTTGTGAATAGACCATATAAGAGTGGTCCCAGACAGCTCCCTTGAGGGACCCCACAAACAGGTGGGCAGGAGGTGTGCTGTGGGCTCTTAAATGTTTGAATGTAATTATTTTTTGTATGTTTTCTTTTTTTATCTGCAGTGAAACCAGCAGTGTCAGTAACAGCAGCGATGGTGGCCTCTATACCAATGATGAGGGGAGACAAGGTTCGTATGTTTAATAGTTTTTAACTCGTCCTCTGAGGAAGGGCATTTTTTCACACACTTTAATAGCCTGATTTAGTCGGTTGTCGGAGGGAGTTGAGGTGAAGGTTAATATATGAGGTCCAGTTTAAAAATTAAAATTTGATCTGTTTTTTTTTTTTTTTTTTGCTGTTCTTATCTATGAGGCCTCACAACTAGTGATGGGCAAGTGAAGCCTCATGAAGCAATGAAGCTTTCCAACGCAAAGTGTTGAAAAAAGTTCATTACTCGATGCTTCATCACTCACTAGTGACATCTGCTGGTGAAACTGTAACAGCCTTGTTACTCAGTTGGATCATACTTCCAAATATTAGGAAATGCAATATTGTCACAAAGTTTTCATCAAACTCATGTTTAGTAAGAGGAGATGATTTGTAGCCAATCTAATCCTTGACCATCAGTGGTGGTGTTAGGTTTTCTTTTATGTCATGGACTTATTAGACAATGAAGATATGTGTTACTTTAATGTATTGAGAACTGAGTGACTGTTGCTGCAGACTCTGTATACTTTGAGCTTGAAACTTGCTTCCTTAAAGACAGAATTTGTTTAAAATCATCTCTTCCTAGGAGTTCTAGTTCTGATTCTTAATATTAAGTTACACATAGAGTTTGCCTCTTAGTCTGGTTTTGATGTGTGATTCTGATGCATCTCCTGATTAAACAAAAGAAAATATAGAAATTTCTGGATTTTAGGTTTAATTGTTTTTATTTAGGAATAGGACTTTTTTCATTGTTTCAGGTTGTGATTGTGATCTGTCATCTCATAATACTCCCACATATGAGAGGTTTTTCTCTTTTTTGACGGCTCCATTTCAACCACTGCTGATGAAACTGTTCTGCTGATACCAAACCACCTACTACAACCCACGAAGCAACAGGATTCATCGCGCTTTTATTTTGAAAACCGACACGCAAAATGAAGCAGTCACGTGACCAGTGCAATGCGAGGCCTTGTTTGTTGCCAGTCACGTGGTTTTCAGCAAGACAACACAGGCCTCGAAGCGGGGCTTCATTGACACGCCCCCTTATTACTCGGTACAAGCCTCGAAGCCTGGCTTCAGATAGCCCATCACTACTCACAACTGTTAAATATTTATTATATATATATATATATATATTAAAGCTGTTTATTTATTTTTAAAAATTGACAAAAAAATGTTTGGTAAACGAAAGAAAGCATGGGATATTTGATGCTAAATGTGTATAAAACTAAACCCATTTTAAAACACTGGTAAAGCTTAGTCTAACTTTGAAGTCACGTTTTCTGTCTTTACTTTAGGTGACGATGAACAGAGCGATTGGTTCTATGAGGGGGAACCCGGCTCTGGTTCTGGGCCCGGTGGTGCTTGTGGGATAGCAGGAGTGGTTCCCTGGTGGGAGAGGGAGGCAACATCGGAGGAGCTGGACCTCGCCGACCCTGTCTTCAACAGCATCCTAACAGGGTCCTTTCCGCTGCTGACCCCCCATGGTCAAAGAGGTACGTTATGAGCTGCTTTGGAGGGATGATGCTGTGTATCAGTAGACATCCATAAAGTAATTTAAGAAACTTGGATCAGTTAGTAAGGATTTAACTTTGTAATTTTAGACTTTCAGGGTGTGCAGTGATACACTTTTGCTGGCTAATTCCAAGCCGCTGTTGCCCTTCAAAACAACAACAAAACAGCAGTGAGAAAAGATATTATTTATCAGGGGTTCACCGAGTTATCGGTCTATTGGTTGATCGATCAGCCTTGATTTTCTTAATTTTGAGAGTTCTGCGATTGGCCGACTTTTCCAGCAATCTGATCTACTTCTGAAAAGATCTGAAAACCATCCACTGCCAAGGCCTTAAAGCAGATATTTCAGAAGTTTTTATTGTTTCACAGGCAATGATTAATATTTTTTCAGTAAGATAAGATTGAATTAACTTGTGATCTGATAACAACTGGCAGCGTCGATTATAAAAATAAATCTGTATTGGTCAAAATCGGCATGTCAGGCTTTTTAAAGATCGGGAATCTGTGATCGCCCAGAAACCTGTAATCGTTGCACCGGATTTTTGTTTTATAAATAATAATAGAAGTCCAGCTTTCGCTTTGTCTGTAAAGGAAAAAACAACAACTATCCTTTATTTTTAAACCATTAAAAATAACATTCACCCTGGATGATTTTTTTCTTTTTTAGTTAGTTTGCTTTACTGAGCAATTGACAAGTGAGATCATCTCTGATTAAAGTTGAATTGTTGTTTGACAGGTTTCCAGGCCAGGTTGAGTCGTCTACATGGAAACCAGCAGGGATCTGAGGCTGGGATGCCGGGAAGCTCCAGTCAGGGGTTCAGTGAAAGGCTGAGCCAGGACCCCCATGAGTGAGTTGTTGTGCTTGTTTTTGTTTTGTTCTTTTTATTTATTTGATTTTTTGAGGATTTTTTTCACCCCTGATACTTCCCCTTCTTTTGTAGATCTATATAATTTATTTGTGTTAAATTATCTCTGTTTAATGTAGAATAATATTTACTCTTGGGTAGAATTCACAGTGCTGGTCTGGTCCAAACAAGTTGGACCTTTTTTTGATCAAAAACAGATTTTTTATTTTTATTTTTTTATTATTATTGTCATGCAGTTAAAACTGATTCTTTTAGAGTGTATTATTTTTCCAGGTCGATCCAAAGAGGTTACCGTTGCCACTGTAGTGCTAAAATGTGAACAGGTTCTATTTCATTGATTCACACTGTTCCAATTCTAAGCATTCAAAGGTTTTGGTGTAAGGGCTGCAATACTTTAAATGTGTCAGGGTCTGGTTTCTGGAGGGAATTATGGCGGCGGGAACACATACAAACCCTGGATCAGATTGCATTGTGAATGCCTGTCCATCCCAGAGTACCAAAGGCAGGAAGACAGGATGTGATGAAGTGTTTGAGTAGAAGAAGTAGTTCTTGGTGTAAAAGCAAACCCAGCTAATTGAAACAAACTTAAACCTTCACCTGCAGTGCTAACGCAACCTAAATATTATTCCATAATTTGAAATATTTATGTGGAGAGGCCATTAAAGTAAAATAGTCCAAAATTATCTGCAAATTTGTGCTGTTTGCTGGCTGACTGGGGATTTTTCATCTTACAATCTGTGTCTAAAAAGTACATAACTTAAAAATCAAAATCCATATGAATCTTGAATAAAGGGTTAATGTGTTTGGATTGAGCTATATCAATTGAATGTTTTAATAGTGTCATTTACCTCAAACAGGCCTTGGTTTAGCCCAAGCTCAAGGAGGGACCACGGACAGGTGAGCCAAGTTTTAAACTGTGTCAAAATTCTAGGTCTTGATCCACTGCAAGCATCAAGTTTAGGTGTTCTGTTTTTTTTTTTATGTCTTTTAACATCACTGCAGTTGCACTGGGATCCACGAACAGACAGAGGGCATCGGAGGAGCTGTTCAGTTAAAACAGCAAGCAGGTGAGAACAGCTGCCTTGAAAATATGCCAGGTCGAGAATCCAACTTAGTTCTGTTTGATGCTTTTATGGGAGGAATCTTAACACTGTTTATGTCGCCTAACTTCTCCTTCAGACAGACCAGCGGGCACCTCGGCTCCCTGTGCACAGGCGACATCAAGCGGAGGCGAAAGGCAGCCCCTCTTGGTTCCGTTGTACCTTCTGGTAATAACACCACACCTGATTATACTCAACACCCCACTCTGCACCACTAATCCCTAATCATAAGTCCCTCATCTAATGAAATTCTTAGAATTCTTTACCAGAAATAATTGGGCAAGAAGACATACATTAATGTCAATTCAGAGTGATGCAGCTCTAACCAGACTAAGACCATGGAGTGAGGTGCTTTTACTCAACTCTGCTTACCCACACAGAAAGGATTAAAGCATTATTAGTTAGCCTCTCTGGCTAAAGCAAAGTTACTGGAAAGCAGAGGACAACATGATCATGGTCTCTTACTACCCCGGATGTTTTTGTTGCACAACTAGTCATGGCTAAGTCAATTACTGGGTTGCACCTGCAGAGAGGCAGAATAAACAAGCAGACAGAACGCCTAATCTGAGAGCAAGGGTTTTAACTTTTGAAGTAACCCGGATTACAAAGTTTTAGGTTAAATTTAGGCGATTAGTCTGAAGTTCTGTTAAGGCTGATTGATGAGTCTCTCCCTACGCTCAGAACGGTTTACTAGCAACTGAAGTTAAATGACACCTTGGTCACTGACACAGTTTTTTACCTGCTGTGTAGGTTGATGCTAACCTGGCATAAGCCAGATTGATTTGTCTTGCTCATTCTGATTTCTACACAGCATCAATCCTGAAAGGCTCCCTTGGAAGATGTTTGCAAAAGGAAGGGACATTTGGTACAAGTCTCCTAGTTGTATCGAGTTATTGGCTATTCACAGCAGCAGTAGCAGCTGAGACGTATCACATTAGTGATATGATTCACAACAGCAGAGTTAACAGATAAATCCAAATCTTACCAAATGGTCAGGATGAACACTGTAATATCTTCCCATCCACAAAGACGAAAATTACGTCCATTTGCTAACTTTTCAAAAAGAAATAGAGGGTATTGCAGCTAAAACTGGAGCAGCCATGTTTGTTTTGCTTCTGCTTTATTTTGACGTGGTTGTCTTCATACACATCACTGCATTTCATTGCTCTGAAACATTTTTGTATCGAGGCTAATGCATCTGTTGGCTTCTGGCAAGATCTATTTCCGGGAGCTTGTCAATTCACAAATCTCTTGACAATTCATCTTGTTTGCAAATAAGGTAGATGCCAGGTGTTGAAAGAAAATAAAAACAATATCTCCATTAAGGTTGATGACAGAGGAAATGGCTAACATGACATAACATTTCTGTGTAAATAATCCTCTAATAATTGGTAATGTGTACATTCCTGAAAATTAAGATGAATAAACCTTTGAATCATTGTGTTTTTTATATAATTAAGTTTTATTATTTCAGTCCCATTAATAAAATATATTATTTTGAGGATCTCATTCAGTGAGATGCACCTATTTAGCCAGGCGACTTCTGGGTTCTGTTCAATTGGAGAACTGAAATTGACCTTTCAACCAGGCATTTGAAATCAAATTTGAAAATCAATTTCTAATTGCACATTTTTAATTGAATTATTAAAGTGGAATTTTATATAGCATTTATTAATCCATTTATATTTATACTGGAATTTGAAAATTGATTTTTAAATCAGATTTTTAAATGTACATTTAAAAACTGAAAGTCATAAATCTGACTATAAATACCTCTCCTAATTACAGATTTAGAAAGTTAATTCCTTATTCTATTTCCATTTTTTTTTTATTTCCAAATACTTCTTGAAATTACATTTTCTTTTTCAGTTTTTTCCTCTCTGCTTACCTTTTCCATGACCTTGCTGGTCCCTAAAAACAATGGAAACCAGTTAACCTCTCTCATTGGTTAAACTGCCCCACTTGGTTAACAAAACCACCAATGAGGGAGCTCATTACATTTGAGGAGCAACTGGGATTGGTTAAAGTGGTTTTCAGTAAACTCAGGAACCAAAAGGGTCATGGAAAAGGTAAATGGAGAGGGTAAAGTTAAAAAAATACAAAAAAAAGGATTTTAAAATGCAAGGTAGAAAAAAAATAATGGAATAAGGAATAACCTTTTTAAATGTGTGATTAGGAAAGGGATTTATAATCAGATTAATGAATTTTGGTTTTCAAATTTCCATTCAGAAATAGGATTTTTCTCAGCCTTTTAGACTGAGAAAATATGTTTTGCATAAGTAAAGTATTTTTTTTTGTCCTTATTTTTTTAACGAAACTTTGACTTGCTGCAAATTATTCAGAAATGCGAAAAATTTTTAAATTTTCTTTTTCATCTCAGGTGTGGTTGGAGAAAACGCACCTCCCATTCCTGACACGAACACGGGGAGCCGCATGTTGCAAAGCATGGGCTGGAGCCCGGGGATGGGCTTAGGCCCCGAGGGAAGAGGGATCACTGAGCCTATCCGAGCAACGCAGAGACCCAAGGGGGCAGGGTTGGGGTTCAACTGACCGAGCAGGTCCTGGTCTCTAAGATCACATGGCTCAGTAAAAAAAGAACAATGGATTGAAATCTCCTCAGGATGATTCTTAACCAAAGTCCTGTGAGCTACAAAAATGAACAGATTGAAACTTGGTCTACCAAGGACGTCTGTAGTGACAAACTTTCCCATATTGGGGAAACTTTAGGAAGCCGTCATGTGTGCGTAGTAGAGTGAACTGAGTTGTAAGATTGCTCTAACTCCATGTTGGAGAACCTGATGCTCGACCACATGTTACCTCAGTGTTAAAGGGCAGCGAGTGTTTGAGCCCATCCTGAGTGTGTGCTACTGGTTACAGAGCAGTCTGCTAGCAGGCAGCCAAACTGGGTGAAGAAATGTTTTCAGATTGCACAAATATTTGAATAGGCCATACCTCAACACACCTTTTAAAGTTGTTTTTTTTTATTGTGATGAAGTTAGCATACCTTAGCAGATTTTCTGTATGTATTAATCAATCAATTATTAATTGGACTGATTTATTCCTTAGGTTTTTATTTCTCCACAAACAGGAAAAATAAAATCTTAAACTGAAAATTCAATCTTTTTAAATCATTTTATTGTTTTATTTGAGTACTTCATGTTTGAAAGCATGTCATTGGAGATTAAAAGGTGATATATACAACACATTTTCACAGTTTCATACGTAAACATTCATTTTGTTCATGGTTGTCGGTTATTGACTGTTCCTATAGGAACATAGGCTAAATGGAGCTGGGGTATCATGGTGTAATTACTTCAGTGGTATTTATACAGAAACATAGCGGCCCTCTGAGACCCTTTGCAACTCTAAAAAGGTAAATGGGTGTTTTTCACTTTAATATAGGCTAAAACAAAACTTGAGAAAAAATGCCTGCAAAAATGAGTATTAGTTTTGTACTATTGCATAAAACATATGTATTTGTTCTTCTGTGCACAAGCTATTTGCTGGCTAATTAATCATTAAAAAGATAAAAAGAATATCTGTAAGAGGTTACACTTGTTTGGATTCCAGGACACTGGAAATTTTTAAGAATGACCAAATATGTTTCTTGTAAGCAAGGAAAATGTTTGTATAAAAAAATGAAAGATGGATAAAGGGTGCCACAGGATCCTTTCGTTTAGAAATTATAACATAAAAATCCATAGTGTAACCCCTAAACTGGTCGCTGTAATAATACCCTTTTAACAGAACAGCTCTTTCTGAGTTTTCCTGTTAAGACTCACCAACCTCAGATTTACCTGTTTTCTGTTTATTTTGCTTGATGGACCTTTTTTTTTTTTTAGGATTGCCTCCAGAGACAGACAAAACTCAGACCTGGAAACATTTCAGACACAGCAGATAACATCTTACCTCAAGTTGCCCTCTCAAAGTATAGAGCAATCACCATCTCCCTGTCCCATTTTTTTTAAATCTATATTAAGTTTATTTTAAATACAAGTCCTCCACAGAAGACAACGCTGGAATGTTAGACTGCCAGTCCAACATTTTATAAAAGGGATGAGCAATCAAATGTGTAGAAGAAGTGAGCAAAATCACCTAAAGTTTCATGTTCTGGAATAAAAGTTTAATGTTCAGTTCATTCCAGAGCTAAACTTCCAAAGATTCCCTGAATCTTGCTGCATTCTAAAGGAATGCTTGCACATATCTATAGAGTAAGGATAACAGGTGAGTGCATTAATAATTGCTTTTTTTTAAATTCAGTCAGCTGTATAATACAGACCCAATTTTTCAGTTAAAAGTACTTTAGGAACATGTTGAAAAATATATACAAAGAACCCCATAAATATCAATAATAATAAAATTCTAACATACATATAATTACTAAGATGAACAGTGGGAAACATGGATGCATGGACCAACCTATATTTTGGGGAAAAAAAGATCTCTCCAATAAGGTGGAGTATTAAAATTAAATTAACCGAAGGAATTGATCAATAATGGACGTAATTAACTCTGTTTCTGAACAATTTTTTAAATGTAGCGTTATGGAAAGAAAGCTAAATAAACAAGGATTCAGAATATAACACAGATATACAATTTTAATCACAGTACTATTGGTGGAAGCACAGAATTAATAGAATTAGTTACGTCTCACTAAAACGTTGTCATACAAATAATAAGGTTTCAGTGAGACATATTATTTGCTGCTCTAAATAAAACCTCAGGACCCTCATTGCCACCATGGCCAGAAAATACCTCAGGTATGGGTGCATTTACCTTGTGCAATACATATATGACAATGTTTTGACTTTCCTAATTGGTATAAAACCAACCAGAGTTGGGAAAGTTTCAACCTTCATGTAGGAAAATATCTCTCTCTTTTTTTTTTTTTTTTTTTTTTTGTAGTACGTACATTTTGTTAGAACTGGTGATTTTAAGTGTCCAGCTGTGTGTTAACATTTGCTGTTGGTAAGAATAAATATCTCTACAACAGGACAAGTAAAGGGTCATTCTGTATAATATTTTCCAATCTTTGCTCATACAAAACATGTATTATAGTGGAATCAAGGATATTTTCCATTTAAATGGTTTCAGCAGTAGCCCTCTACAGTTCCTGATAATCTTGCTAAGCATTTTATTTAGGGATCCACTACGGCAGCAGAGCAGGTTGCTTTCTACTTCTTTCTGCTCTAATTGTCAGCTTCACTCTTGATCCACCTTAACCTGCGTTATTATTAGCCAAATTAGGACACACTGCATTTACAACTAGATGGAGGAGTAGTAGAGGGAAGGGACATGGTTTGTTTCATAACTTTGGATTAAGTAGCTGTCTAGATTCCAGATGACTGACATTTTCCTGTCTGCATTGCATAGCAGCAGAGAGGAGAGTTATCAATAATCTGTCCATACAGCTGATATTTATAAGCTTGTGTCATCCAGGAGCTAAATTCCGTCTGATAGAGATGTTTAAATGACACTATGTTTCTTTTGTATGTCTGGTATGTTGTAACATTAGCACAGTTTGCACTTGCCAATATTTCTTTTCCCCCCTTTCAGTCAGATTTTATGGAAAAGTACCTTTGAAAAATAGGTTTAGCTTATTAGCAAAAGTGGGTAGTGTATCTTATATTCTAGATCTATGCTATTTGGTTAAAACGTGAGTCAAACCTTAAAGCAACAGCTCATTGTTTTGATCAGGTAAGTAACTACAAGGAGGCAGGTCTTTATCCCTAAAGAAAGGTTAAAGGTCGACTTTTACACAATTTGAAATGGATTTTGAGACAAATGAGGCTCTTTGAATATGTAACTTTATCATATCAAATAATCCGTTATTATGAAGACCTAATTGTGACTCTATGACATATATTTTTCAAAAGAAAATGTGTTTCTGGAAAAAGTTCTTAACTTGATGAATTCCTCATGAAATAAAGACCATTAAGGAAAACCCTGAGCTTAAGGGTCTTCAGTCAGTGGCTTCTCCAGATCAGCTTTAAAGACAGACCACTACAGGAGATCCTTTTTTCCTGCATTCATCTGCTTCTACAAACTCTGAGGAAATGTTGACAATATTAGTAACAACGGTAGACAATTATGAAGGTCCAGACCATCCAAAAGGTCAACTATTGCTGACGCTCTGCATCAAACAGACCTTTTTTCATCGAGAGGCCAGAGAGAAACCACTTCCAACAGAATGGTTAAAAGATTGCTGCGAAAGTAATGCAGAAAGGACCTTATACAAGCTGTCAGAGCTGACTGAGAAATAGGGAAAAAATGTCCTCTGCTCTTACAAAAATAGAATTTCTGGTCTAAACTCCAAGGATTATTATCTGGAGATGAGCAGCTACAATGCATAACCTGGCTGACCCTATCCCTGATTTGAAACACGGCTGGGGCAGCATCATGCTGTGATGAGCTGGATGACAATAGTCAATATTTTTGGTGAGTTAACAACAATCACATATAGAGAGATCTTCAAGAGGCTCTATATCAGAACTAGAAAACCCACACGACCATGACCTAAAGGATCCAACCTCCTCTTAAGCAGCACTGGGGAATCATTTCTGTGTAACTTTTTGGTTTTTCCATCCCACAAGAACTTATGTGATGTAAGAGAACGCATGTTTTCTGAAAGTCTGTTTATCATAACCTCAACAATAGAGCAGAATATGGTGAAGAAAACAAGTACTATCACTACTATCTGCTTTTCTAATGAGATATTCACATCTAACCTTCAATATTAACCTTCAGCTCTATTAGCATGCTTGCTTCACATTATCAAAAATATAATGCAGGCATCATCTCTATCCTTCTCCCCCATCTTTAACCGCAACAGAAAGCCCTCCTCTGCCTCGGTGAGAACGAAGGACCATTGTGTGTCCACCCCACTTTTAAAGGGGGCGAGTGTTCAGCTGGGCTCTCCCTCACTCTCTCCTTTAGACACACTTTCTCATTTAAAAGGCTCACTCAGGAGTCCCCTATGAGCGAGCTGGGGCAGGTGAACTCAGCACTGGATCTGAGTGAGATGCTGAGAGGAAGGAAAGGGGGAGAGGGGGGAGATCTGTGTGTGTGTGTTTATGAATTTGTGTGCACGCTGCTGCATCGCTGAGCTACAGAGACCGGAGGCGAGGAGAGCTGGAGTGTTTGTCCTTGAGATTGACTGACTGCAGCTGGAAAGCAGAGCCACTGACCAGCCGAGCATCCTGTGGATGAAACTGACAGTGAGTACTGAGCACAAGCAGAGCGATAAACAAACCAGGAGAAGCAGATGCTGTTTAATGTTTTTTTTTTTTTTTGCAGTTAATGAAGTGATGTCTTTTTTTGCTCTTGTCTGCTTAGAAACAGTCTGTTGTGGTCTTTAAGCGGAAACAGAGGAGTGTGTGTGTGAAGGTAAATATCTACCGTGAACCCAATTGAACTCTACCTTTTTTTTTCCAATACACACTTCATTTCAAATCTTTACGGGTCACTTTATAAGCACTTCGGTAAATTGTTCAGCTGCTGGGCTTCTTTGCAGCTGCATAAAAAAACTGTTAAGAAATACTGTCTAGAACATCCTCTCCTTCTCCTCTATGTTTCTATTTACAGATCCATATTAACTGGAACTCATTCTCAGTAATCTAGCAGCTAAATCAAGTTTTACTGGTTTGCTCTTGGTGTTGCTGGGAATCTGTAGGCCGTTCATTGCAGACTAACTGGGTGACAGGATGAGTAGAAGGAGAGGGGTCACTGAAAGAGCACCCCTAAAGAGAGGACAGAAGGAAAAAGCGGGGCGAGTGTTACATTTCACTGGAAGCTGAAACATCCCAGTGGCACACCTTGAAGCATCTGCTAGCTAAAACGACCAAGGACAGAAAGGGAACACAGATGTGTCTTTTTCCAAGCATGGAAAGTTTAGTGGAAGGAAAAACTATGGTTTACTGAAAGGATTCACATGCAGCGGGGATGACAGCATGTCTGAGTGTCATTGATGGGATTGAGAAGGAAAGCCTTTTAGGAGTGTCCATTATATAACCTACAGCTGTTACTGTCCATGAAACAGTTTTAGAAGGGTTCTAGCTGGGGTAGAGAGAAAAGAAAGTTGAATTGGTGCTCAGATATCAAAATGCAAAAAGGAAAAAAGAGATCAGTTCTTTTGCTGATGTCTCTGAGTTACATTATTATTATTATTGGTTTTAAGGAATTTTTATATTTTCTGATGAATCTGGG